AGAGAGAGAGAGAGAGAGAGAGAGAGAGAGAGAGAGGGCGTTTTAGTGCGCTGCAATGCGCCTCACGAGTCATCGGGGAGGAATTGTCGCGAGGTTGCATTGTAGAGCTTTCTAAATCTCGTTAAGCCTGCATATGTCGAGCACTCGCACACATTAATTGTGATTAAGGTATAATCCCTGCACGGAAGCGCATGCAGCGTATATACCGAGTATCCACCCGTGAACCTGTTATCCATACATTTCCGCATTATATGGGAGGTTTTAGCGACGCTTCTCTAATGTACTACGTGACCGTTGATGGTCCACACTGCTGCAAGCGGTGATGACGTGCGCTGCATAGGCAGAGCGGTATAATGTTATAGTATGTGATTATGTTCATTATTGTTCCGGTATAGTGACATGTTTGCAGCGTGTTTCAACGCGATCGATCCCTTATATTTATTATGCGATAAAACATCGTCATGTAACAACGCAAAAAAAACGTTTGGAGTAGAATATATAATAAAAAAATGTATTTCAAAAAGTTGATTGCGGCCATTTTGGAGGAAAAAATGTCACTTCTCTTTAAAATGTCTTTTCCGTTGGGCCCATCTTTTATTAATTAGCACTCCTTATATGGTACACATATGCATAAATAGATGCTTTCATCACAATCTGAACGATCGATTGTTAAAATTGACTACGTCACGAATTTTCTATGCTAAAATTAGTTTTTGAAAAAACTTCCCATTTTTTTACATTAAAAGTAAGAACTAACGAGACTAAGCGTACAGACAAATTCTTACATGATAAGATTGTTTCTCAACTAGTTAAAAATCCAAAAAACCTGGACGATTTGAATTTATATTCCTAACATTAATTGCTTGCTATGGGCTATGTACGAGTCACGAGTGTATGTTCACATCGAACAATAATATTATAGTAAAATAGGAAGTATAATGCAGCAATTTAACCATAAAAAGTGAACAGAATTACTTACATTTTGTATGTTAATTAACTATTTACGGTGACGTAATCATTTTAAGAAGCTCTGTCGTTAAATTATGCGAGCAATTACGATGCGTACCGGTTCTATAATATGGGACACAGATCAATTTCCTAAAACTGATACAAAACCCCCCACGTATAGATAAGACATGTTTGTTATTCTACGTCATTAGGCTATAAAGTTAGCGATGAACCATGTTTGTAATGATATGTTGCGCTAGCATATTTTAGTACCATAATTGTATACTTGCTTGATATATTTGTGAGTGGTTGTAATAGTAGTAGTAATAGTAATCGTATTCATAATAACACTAGTGTCTAACTGAATATAACGCTAGTGTCTCCTTCTACGAGCTGGATCTACAGAGAGCATAGACGGCGTTCACTGTGTGTAGGGGGGAGAAGGAGAACACGATTCTCAAACTAGAACGTCTACAACGTCTAGAGCGTCTACGTTTTTACACTCTCCATTTCGTAACAAAAACGATGTTAGTTTGCAATAAAGCTGGTCGAACCTAACTTATTCGTGGCGTAGAAATCTCGTTATTGAATTTGGGATGGAAGTGTTGGTGTTAGACTGA